CTGAGGGTTGCGATCCGTTGCCGGTCACGAAAAAAAGACAAAAAGAAAAAAAAAAAAAAACTGCATGTAGTTCCACACTCAGAGTAATAATATAGTACTGGAAAGAGAGTGGAAAGCACCATAAAATTCACAGAAAGAAATGGATTTATAAGAGAGGGAAAGGCAACCAATAATTATTAGAGTTTATTATGGGTACTTTACCCAAGTTATCTCCAGACTCACAGATTATTGTTAATCTTATTTTATATATCATACAATGAAGTTCTCAGCATTGACTTCTCAAAGTTCACACATTGCTGACAGTGGCACTGGCTTTGACAGCAGTATTTATTTTATGAATCCTGGGGTCCTCCTCGATGGCCCCAGGTTTTGAGAGAGGATGAACTTGGGAGGAAGATAATTGACCTGGAAAGGCTCCATGAAGTTATTTGAGACAGATTTGGGGTGGTTATCATAGAAAATGAAAATAAGATAAGCAAATACATAGAGGTTAGAAAGAATCAGGTATTTATTCAGAGATGTTCTACTCTAAAATTGACAGTTTGAACAGGGCTAATTGTAGTGAGAGTTTAAGGGTTTCACCGACTCATTATGTTCATTACAGGCTATTACAATTTCTCTTTGGAGGAAAGATGCATATTCACTTGATATTTTATTTTAGCTCTTCCGCAATATTCTTCTTTGGAATGGACTCCTCCCAGATGATGACTTGCAAGAGCTAGGACTAGGGAAGCTACTAAATCGCTACCTTATTATAGCTCTTCTTAATGCTGTACCTGGGCCAGATGTTGTTAGAAAGTGCAATCAGGTAAGTTGTATAGGAACTGATTCTAATTTTATCATTTTTTAAAACTCAGTTATTAAAAATCTATTTTGTAGCAAAATAATTAAAATTGTGGTACTTATCTAATAATAGACAAATCAGTTTAACAGACTAGAAACCCAGAAGAAGCCCCTCTGTATTTAATAATTAGTTTGAAATACCACCAGTAGGGAAAGGAAAAATTGCTTATTAAATGATGCTGGGACAACTGGCTATGTACAAAAATAATGTTAGATCCTCACCTCACACTATATACCAATATAAATTTCAAGTGAAATAAAAAATTAATGGTAAAAAAGGAAATTATAAAATATACTAAGAAGATAAATGACTATTAGAGGGTAAATGATTCCCTTCTAAATTTAAAAGCAAAAGAAGAAATGATGGAAAAAAGTAACCCGTTTGACAAAAATATAAAATTTCAGTGGATCAAAAACATTGAAAAGGTATTGAGATTAATTTCAATGTTGGAACTGGGGAATGTATTCATTGGCTTCACTATACACTATTCTTTTTCCCATTGTTTATGTTTGAAATTTTCTATAATGTTTTTTTAAAAGGGAGTTGAGAAACTAGGAAATGAAAGTTGTAACACATAACAAGGATTAATATTCTCGTTAAATAAAAAAGCTCTTTACAAATCAGTAAACAATTCAAATGTTCTGATTAAAATGGCCAAAACACAGTCAAGTCACCAAAAAGGCTATGTAAAAATGACCTGTAAATATGTGGAAAAGATTAACAGTACTAGTAATCAGAGAAAGGCAGATTATTTTATGGGAAAGATATTTATGTTACCAGTGTGTTGGCAAACATTTTTTGCTGTTATTTTAATTATAATTCCCAGTGTTGTCATAAGCACAGGAAACAACAGTCCCGTCATTCTAGGACACCTTTCACCTGTATTGGTGGATTGGTTCTGGAAAATATCTCCTGCACTGGTGGAAGGAGTGATACAGTTCTTCTAGAGAATATTTTGGCATGATGGGTACAAAACTTTTAAAGTCCATAGTCTTTGACTTAACCATTTTACTTTTAGGAATTTATCCTAATTCAAAAACCAGAGATGCACATATAGATTTTAAGTACAAAGAATATTGTTATAGCATTATTTATAATAGAAGATAGTTGGAAACCACCTGAATGTTCCAAAAAACATTATGGTCTATCCATAAGGTAAAAGTTATATTGTTGGAAAATTTTTAAGAATATAGGAAAATTTTATAATACAATTTTTTTTAAAGGAACATATAAAACTTTATATACCAACCATGATTTTTCTGGCTATAGTTTTGGTTTTTGGTGTTTTGGTGTTTTGGTAGTGGGTCTTTGCTTTTTGTTTTTTTAATTTTTGTTTTTATAGTGGCAGGCTGTTACAAGGATATGAACCCTTGACCCTGGAGTTATATGGCGGCACTTTAACCAACTGAGCTAACTGGCCAGCCCTCTGGCTATAGATTTTATATCATGCAGTTTTAAACATTATATATTGAAATTTTAAATTATCATCCATGTTAATGTGTTTCAGGTTTAGTTTAGTCCCCTTTGACCATAAGTAAAGAAGGATAAATACTTGTGTATTTATATGACATTTTCTCCACAACATGTGGCTAGAAAACCAGGCCAAGAAAATGTGACTTTACATCCTGGGATTATTTATGGAAAAGCTACATGAATTTTATTGAGACTTGTGATACAAAACAAGGTGAAGACAAGTACAAATGACATTAAATTCCAATCCAGTAAAGGCTGGATTTAAAACTTTAAAAAAGGGGCCTAGCCCGTGGCGCACTTGGGAGAGTGTGGTGCTGGGAGCGCAGCAGCGCTCCCGCCGCGGGTTCGGATCCTATATAGGGATGACCGGTGCACTCACAGCGCTCACTGGGTGAGCGCGGTGCGGCCGGTCTCAAAAAGGACAAAAAAAAAACTTTAAAAAAGAGATACAGTTTGCATAGAAAAAAACTTGCAGGACCTTCTTCCTTAGGCAATCACAGTTTGTCTGCATTTTTTCTGAATAATAGAAAAAGGTGATTAAGGAATGGAATAAACCTCGACCATGTTGACCAACCTGATTTATTTTATTTATTTATTTTTTTAGCCGGTCTCAAAAAGGACAAAAAAAAAACTTTAAAAAAGAGATACAGTTTGCATAGAAAAAAACTTGCAGGACCTTCTTCCTTAGGCAATCACAGTTTGTCTGCATTTTTTCTGAATAATAGAAAAAGGTGATTAAGGAATGGAATAAACCTCGACCATGTTGACCAACCTGATTTATTTTAGAAAGAGCATTTTAGAACATTCATTTGACCTAACCTATTTTATAATATATATTTGGTGCATTTTTTATTTTTTCAGCTTTCTACCTTCTCTGAATATTGATCTTGATCTTACCAACTGTAGTATAATCTGTTTGATTGTCCAGAAATTTCTTTGAATAGTATGATCTCAGGGTTTTCCTCCCTCTTCTTCTTCCTCCCTTCTTTTTTTCTTTCTTTCTGCAATGAAGAAGTTTTTGTTTTTTATTTTTTAGCATTTTCCTGTTTTTACCAGTACTTTCCCCAAAATCATGTGTTACCTTTAGGATGATGATGGTAAAACGCTGGGGTTTTTTGTTTGTTTTGTTTTCCAAAAGAAAAATTGCAAACACCTACATTAAGTCATTTTGCTGCCATGGACATTTAAAGCAATGTTTAAATTTGTAGAAGATCAAAACCATAATTAACTTTTGTTTCATTCTGTGTATTTTAGAATCACCCACTTGATTCCTTAACTCTAATTTGTGTGAATATCATATACTAGGCTGCCCAATTTCATTTTATGTCTAAGCATTTCTGGGTTTTACTTGTGAATTATGTTTTGTACAGATTTAATGGCTCAGGAATAGAAGAATATGGAAAGAATTACAAGTATTGCTAGAGAGTTTTCTTAAAGAGTCGTCTACCTACTTTAATCGCTTAGCAATAAAGAATGAACTTTTTTTTCCCCCCAACCAAATTTTTTAAATGTAGGTAGAAAGTAAGTTTTCAAAATTTTCACTTAAACATAAACTATGAAATGGGGATCACTTTGAGATTATCACTTCCAAGATCACTTTAAGATTATGTTAGCAAGTGTCCTTAGATTACTGTCATTGTTGTAAACCAGCCATATGTTTTAATTTATAGGTAGCAACATGTCTGCCAGAAAAATGGTTCAAAAATTCTACCATGAGGACATCTATTCCCCACCTAGAAAACTTCATTCAGTTTTTATTGCAGCTTGCACATAAGTTATCTAGAAGTGAATTCAGGTAATGCATATTTTATTTTCACTTCCGTAAACATAGTTCAAGGATTCTGTATGTTCTGAGCAGTTTTTAGAAAGATTTGTACTTTTACTCTACTTGAGTTTCTGTTCAGACTTTGTGTAATATTGTAGAGTTAGTAGATATTTTCATGGTTACCTTTGGAATGACTCATTATTTTATAGTCACACCTCATGCATACTCATATATTTAACGTAAATTCTCTTTCAAAATAAGCACTTCCAAAAACTATAGCACAGGAGAATTTAAAAGTAAATCAAAAACCTCATAAGCATGTTTAAATGTTTTTAATTTTCTTGACCATTTTTAAAGACAGCATTTATTAAGTACAGGTCGACAACCTGGAGCTTACCCAGCAGTAGCTAGGTCTCTGTTCTGAATGTCTCATTCATAACACCAGATGTTTAGGGGCTTAAATACAGTCGTTTTCTGGTAAACCACCTTTCCAAAGAGTGAAATAATTATAAAGCCCAGACTTGTAGCATTTACTGATGTCCATGGTATAAAATACTTCCACCATGACTCCCACCATAATGTTCCACACAAGCTGATAGTAGCACAGCACCTCTGAAATTTCTAATGATACACTCACTGTATGCTTTTCTACTTTTTACAGCCATTCACACTGAAATCTGCCAGAATACATCCACTGATAGTTTATAATTGAACCTCATAGTTAACGTGGAGAAAGCACCATCTCTGTATTTTATTATTTTATCTTATTTATTTATTTTTTAAAAAGATGACCGGTAAGGGGATCTTAACCCTTGACTTGGTGTTGTCAGCACCACGCTCTCCCAAGTGAGCTAACCAGCCATCCCTATATAGGGATCCGAACCCATGGCCTTAGTGTTATCTGTACCACACTCTCCTAAGTGAGCCACGGGTCGGCCCTGTTATTTTAGATATTAGCTTAAGGTAAAGCTTTTGTTTTAGATTAACAACAGATGATTAGGTCCTGAATTGGCCACTGTGCTCTCATATATTGCATTTTTAAGGCAGGAAATGCTTTTTTATTTTGTTTTTCAGGGATGAAGTCAAAGAAATAATTCTTATTCTGGTGAAAATAAAAGCCTTGAATCAAGCAGACTCCTTCATAGAAGAATATCACCTAGACCATCTTAAATCACTAATTAAAGGAGTTTTTGAGTAAACTTTATAGGAAAGTACTAAAATGAGATTTTAATACACTCACTCTCAGTTCCTTTGCTTGAAAAAAAGCTGGTGCCTCTCTTTTGTTCTCTGCAGTGGAGAGTAGGATTTACAAAAAAGCAGGGACTCCATTCCTCCATTCCCTCCACTTCTACCTTCTGGTATCATGAAAGTCTGCCCTTCCTGTTCTGTGGTGTTTGAAGGAATTAAATCAATATGTTTCCTTTTGATTCTTTTGACTTCTTTTTCAATGTAAGAGGGGACTCCTTGCTTAGAGTGCTTTGGCTTAGGTGAGTATGCTAATAAGTCTTCTGTTCTGAACCATAAAAACATCATTTGGTTCTTTTTATTTTAACTACCTCTAGTTATAAATAAGTTAATATGCCCCATACCAGCCAGCTGCCAAAAACAAACAAATATCAAATTAATAAATATGGAAATTCATTAGAATGAATTATTTAAGTATCAAATGATTAAGGCAATTTTAAGTTGTTTGACAACTAAGGATTGTCAAATTGTCCATCAGGAATCTATACCAATTTATTGTACTGATACAAGTAAAAAAGAGTGCCAATGAATCCCCACCAACCATGGTATTATTATTTTAATTCATTGCAAATTGGATAGGTGAAAAGAATCTCATTTTAATTGCTTATTTTGTTTGGGCTATTAGAGAGTCAACATGTTGATTTTGGCCATTTGTAATTCTTTTTGTAATATCCATTTATTTTATTTTCTTATGGACTTCTAAGACCTTTCTGTTTTAAAGATATTGATCTGGGCCGGCCCGTGGCTCACTCAGGAGAGTGCGGTGCTGAAAACACCAAGGCCCCGGGTTCGGATCCCATATAGGGATGGCCGGTTCGCTCACTGGCTGAGCATGGTGCTGACAACACCAAGTCAAGGGTTAAGATCCCCTTACCGGTCATCTTTTAAAAAAAAATAAATAAGATATTGATCTTTTGCATGAATAGTTAGAATTGATTTATTTTTTGATAAAGTATTTGTCTATTTAAGGAAGTCTGAGGCAAATTAATTAAATCAAGAAGAAATTAAGAAAAATTTTAAACTGAGAGTTTACTAGTAATGGTTAACTCAGCAGCAACCCTAAGTATATATCTTGCAAATTGTTGCCCAAAAGATAACTGGAAAAAACTTTTTATATTGTAGGATTTGAATATGTGGCCTACTTTTATATCACCCCTACTTTTGAATCTGCATATAACTTATTTTAACTGTTGAGTATGTTATTTCTACTGAAGTGAAGGTTGTGATTTGCTAGTGTGAAGGATTTTTTAAATTTATATTAGTTATACAAATGGTACAGGAATAGAATCTGACTTTTCTCATCTGGAAAAGTCAAACCATTGCTGGAAAATGCTTAACATCACCACACAGCTGTTGTCCCCTGAGGTAACTGCTGTTTTCATTTTAATGTTTTTTTTACAAAAATATGTATGTATGTGTACATAAAGCTTTGTTTTTTACATAAATGGCCAATACTTTATTGCATATGAAATGTGTAATTTTTTTGCTATTAAAGTGTACATTTGGAAATTTATCCTCTGACTTTTGGATTTTCAAATAAAAATATTGGATTTTTTATATATATATTTTTAAGTTGGGCAGAAAGACTTGTCTTGCTTTCCATAGAATGGATAACAGAACTGCTTTCAAAACTACAAATTGGGGCCGGCCCGGTGGCGCACTCGGTAGAGTGAGGCGCTTGGGAGTGTAGCGGCGCTCCCGCCAAGGGTTCGGATCCCATATAGAGACCAGTCCGCTCGCTGGTTGAGCGCAGTGCGGGCGCGACACTGAGGGTTGCAATCCCGTTACCGGTCACCAAAAAAGACAAAAAGGAAAAAAAAAACTACAAATTGACTTAAACTGTTTAAATAGCTTTCAATTAAATTTCATGATGCCTGGAGTTTGAACCTCAAGATTTTTATCTGTCATTTACTATAGTTCAGAATTTTTTGTGAAACTTACTTAATCCTTAATGCAAAAAAAAATTTTTC